ACTTACTATAAGTGGCTGCTGCTAAAGCGTAAAGCCCCACCAAGCACAAGATAGGTTATATTGAAAGTATAACAAAACATGGTCTCTCTATCAATACATGGGCTGTGATTAAATAATATAACTGGGGTTCCTACCTAGAATCAAAACTCAACTTTCAGTAAGGCTGATCACAATTGCGACCTACCGCACTACAGTGGCTAGTCTATTTGTAAAACAAAGTGACAGCACAAACTAAAATGAACACAAAAAGGAAAAAAAAACTTCAGAAAAAAAAACAGTTGTAAGGAATTCAGTCATGCTTCTCAATCAAAGATTACACTATTTCTTTGGCTGAATAATGATTGCCATTTCCACTGAAAACCATAGCCATTGACATATTATGTAGCGATATTATTACATCAACCCTCAAAAAGAATTAGAATTCCAAATGATACCACAACAATTTATCAGAGACAATGGAAACTCCCATATAGACATGCGCTAATAAAATATGCAAATACTTATGGCCAGCCTCTCAATATTGCAACAGCACAGGTTCAAACCTCTACACACTGTAGCCTGGCCAAACTTCAATGGGGACATTAACATGACAGTTCCATCAACTGTTTCTTTTGAGCATGATTGTTGAAAAATTCTTCAGAATAATCATTTGTGCTTTGGTTTCAGAAGCAGTATGAACAATTCTAGTCAAGGAACTCATCTGTTAGAATACCACAACTTGCCAGAAAGTAAGAGAGTAAACCTGACCCAAATACCTCAGAAATAATATGTCTTCCAATGATAGGACAATAAATCAGTTGAAACGGAGCTACCTAGAGCTTGAGTAACTAGTCTGTGATTTTGTAGCAAAGGTTTTGCTAATTAATCACAGAAAATCTGCAGGAGGCAAAAATCATTCAAGACTGATCAGCACAACTTACTTGTGAACAAAGACAATGTCTACAAGTCTATATGTAGCAAATGCATACGGCTAAAGAAACTTATTAGTAAAAGCAGGAGACATTTACAGCATAAACTAGAAATGTCTTCAAGTAAATCTTTCGACAATAATGCTAACACTACATAAAGCATAAATATCATACATACACAAAGGCAAAATAACAAAGAATGCAAACTAGTCATGAAAGTGAAAGTGGCAAATTAATTCAGTAGGAAACTAATAAAAATCAGGAAAACAGAATCAGCAACAAAAGCGTCAATTACTGCGTCATTTCACTTGTGAGAGCTATCTCTTAGTATTGCACTCTGATGTCCACAAACGCTGGACATCCCAGGTCCTGGTCTATCATTGATGTCTGTCCATCCTTGTGTGAAAAAAAAAAAAAATTAGAAAAAAAAGAGAAGCATAATCACAGTAAATATTTTCAACTTGCTGAAAAACTCTTCTTCTTAATTTTGTGAGATGAAGGACTGAAACCACTGACTTGTAAAATCTAAATGCAATAAAAAGTGAAAGGGCTTCTACGAAATTTGAGTAAAATGATACGAGACTTTCTCTTGGAGTCATGAGACTTGACTGGGAAAGCGTGATAAAAGATGACGTGTCAGTCTGTGTAAGGCATAGCCATGGCACTGGGCAGAGAAACACAATGCACCTGCCCAGCGCTCCAGTCATCAATTATGCAATGGGCATTGATAAATTTTATGCATAGTGAATAGCAGCTGGAAACTAATCAATGAAAAACAATTTGTAAAACGCGATTCATATTTTTTTGGTAAAACAATGTTCTGCTGGTCCCTTCAGACAGTCGTAAAAAAACAACCAACAACTGCAAAATGCATAAAGTTTGTTGTCTCTCTAGTAAAACAAGATTTCAATGTCGTGCACAGCTTGCGCTTCCACCACTGACACTCTCAGATAGAGCAGACAAAAGCTAAAAGAGAAAAACGGGCAGCAAACATTCATTTAGCTTTCTTTGCAACCCCCCCCCCCAAAAAAAACCCAACCCAACAAAACAATGCTGAGCTTAAAGTAACACAACATTTTCTTTTCTTTTAAACACCAGGCTATCCTTCATAGCATATTATTCCACAGGACAGAAAATTCCACATTATATATACATCACAGACATGAGCAAAAAGATACTTTTTAAGACAATGAAGGCAGGAGAACACGGTACGTGGAGAGATTCTGTTTTCCATAACCCCTACACATATCAAAGTCCTCACATTTTCAGATTGCGCAAAAGGTCCACAAAAGAGGTAATTTCAATTGGACGTGGTTCAAACCAGCCTATATATGTGAGGCATGCTGACAAAAAGAGTTACTTCTCACATTCCACAAGACAAATTGAAATATTGACCACAAATGGAGATATTGTTTTTGTTTTAGTAGAGGTTTTACGGAGATATTGACCAAAAATCGACATTAGGGTCAAATTTGTAAATTTTCTATTGATGCTATATTCTTTAACTATAACCAGTCTTTTATTATCTCATACTAATAAATTGTACAAACTTCATTTATAAGCATGATGTATCTATTTCCTTGAGGCTTGAATCCGAAAAGTATCTCATTTTGTCAGCACGCTTCACATATATACATATATATATATATATACATGTGAACATACACATGCGTCCATTAGTACGCATGTGTATCAAAGAGTAAGGAAAGCTTTTACTATTGCTGATTAGAGAATGCCATTTCAGACCAAAAAAAAAAAAAAAAGAAAATGCTTTCAATATCATTTCATTGTAAGTACCAAAAAGAAAAGGTACATCCCTTAATGAGACAATTTTAATAACATTATTGACAAGTACAAAATACAATTCTCTGCTCACTAATAAAACAATAATCTAGAATTCCCCACTATTGAAACACCCTCTTTTGCTTTGCCCTCAATTGATATAAAGCCAGACTCAAAATATTTTTTGATAATAAATTTCCAATATGGAGTGTAGCTTTTTCTTTTTCTCTTATGAAGGTGTTTTACGCATCTATCAAAAAGAAACAGAGCAGAGCAACTGAGCTCAAGTTTACGAGGAACTACACAGTCACACCTACAAGACAATTCCAGAGCAGCTGTCTAGAAAGGCATAGCATCAAAATACATTTATACCTGCTCTAACGGCCACTTGTCTTAGACAATAAACTGCATAAATGGCCACATCTCATTTCCTCCTTTTTGTTTTTTACACACTATAATAACACTGCTTAAAAAAGGTCATCTGTCTCAGACGGCCATTTTCCTCCTTGACAAAGAGTGGCCGTCTCAGACACTTTAGACAGTGGTAAAAGAGAGGATGTAGGCCTAAGCTTTTTCAAATGAACGGCATGAAAGCCTTTACACTATACATTTGCAGTCAACACGGTACAAGCAGCAACCATACAACAGACTTCTGTTTTGTTTAAAAATCTGTCACAATGTCCAGACATTTTGGTGACCGATCAGACAGACATCAACAAGGCTCTACCTCAACTGGCATCCTGCACGACACTGCTTTGTACTTGAGTCCCTGACTAGATGACTTCACAAAATAAAACAAAACAACCCCCCCCCAAAAAAACAAACAAACAACCAAACCCAAACAACCAAAAAAAAAAGCCATCTAAAGCCTGGTCAAACAATTCACTGAAAAACCAGAGGGCATTCTGAAAACTGGACCAGAAATAAATGCAACACCTGTTGGCCTTCGCTTAGAAGTTTTGACTAGTTCGCAGTTACACAAAGGAATATGAGTATTTGGAAAAAAAAAGCATGCATGAGACACGATTTAAAAACTTCTCTCATCTCCATTGCATTCATAACCTGGTAAGTGATAAGAAAGGCGAACATTCACAACCATCATTCTCGTCAATCACGGTCAGTAAAAGCAAGCAGAAACATGAAACAGTGGTGCATTCAGACACATCAGCAGAATAGCAAAGTTGAGAACACCACTCATGAAGACACGCAAGAGACAATCAATTGCTTCTTTATCATTTATAGCTTGCCCATTTGTAACCACGTCACAGCCATATGTGGCACAACGTGGTGGAATCAGGTGCTCGTCAATGTTTGGGCATATGGGATTGTCAGTATCATCTTAATGCCTGTTCATTTGCTTTGCTTTTGGTGAAAAAATATCCATTTATGTTGAATAGAAGTAAAAATATTTGTGATTGAAGGAGGTCTGGGCCGCCTGGTTTCAGAGGTAAAATTTGTGAGAAATGGCCGCCAAAGTTTGGTAATTTCCATAGCTTGAGAGTCCTTGAAAACTGAAAATTTCCATATTTTGTGCCTTTAATCAACGTTTTTCAGAAAAATTTACATGGAATGTGTTGTCAAACAGAAAAAAAAGACGTTGAGCCAAAAACCAGAAATTTGACAAATTTGCGAAACTGGCGGAAAAGTGCCTGTTTCTAGGATTTCATTATTTTGACGAGCGCCTGATTTCACAACGATGCCTCACATATGTCCCTTTCCACATACAGTCAAACCAGCTCCGATGGCCACCTGTCTAAAACAATCATGTGTACAATCAACCACTCCAGTGTCCCTCCTTGCATTTTTTCCTGTATATCAAGACACTGTTTAAAACATCTACCTGTCTTAATCAAACATTCTTCTCGACAAAGGGTAGCCGTCCTGAACAATTTCAACCGTAGTTTCGTTTGCACACATCACAAGGTTCAACACTTTAGACACGCAGGAAAACAAACAAAAAGACGTACCAGAGGCCAAGATTCAAATGGCACTATCTACAGGACATAAAAGCCACAGAGGGAACAATTTGAGACCTGGTCTGAAACGCCTATTACAGAATGCATAGATCACAACACATCATCTCCTTTCCTTGATCACAACAACAAAACAGCTTACTATTTCATTCGAAAAATTGCAGCATGACATTGCATAACACAGACATAAATAGATGAATCAACCGTCCAGAACATTTTCACAAAGTAAGTGACAGTAACATATGATTTGAGCATGGTATCACCTGACCAGAACACACAAGAATATGAAGACCCTGTAAGCAAATATATCAAAAGATTCAGACACGAGTTTTTCAAATTTTTTTTTCAGAGGACACAAATTATTGCCCTAAACTCACAAGGAGTACATCAAGCACACAACACTCTCGCTTCTCAATGCTCTCCCCTTTCAAAAACTTACATTGCAGAGACAAATTTAAGAACTGTCAACATCACGCAAAAACTCACTCTTTCTTACAAAAATAAATTTTATTCAAATCATACCACTTTTACCTTTTTTCATATCAATACTAGTGGCAAATACCACATAGTCTTTCTATCTCTGTCTTCGTGCCTTTCAAATTATTCATTAACTTACAAAATAGGAGACAAATTCATCATCTATTTCATGTTCTCACTGAAAAGCAGATATCAGAAAATACACACTTCTCTGAACAGGACAGTCTTCTCCTTGCGTATGTGTTTCCCCAATAAATCTCTGAGGAAGCCAAAAACAAGCTCTACAGTCAACCCACAACCAAATTGATTTTCATGGAACAGACATTCTTACCTGCAGGTAAATTAACACGACTAATGGTTCCATTCTTGGTTCAACTTTCATTTGAGGTCAATATTAAAAAAGACACCGGCAGACGCTCAAAATAAAGTTAAAGCATCATACACTGAGATATGGAATCATATCCATGTGTAGGAATATTTGGAAATTTTTCGTAGAGATAAGTTAAAAAATCTAGCTCTTCACATCACTCCATCAGTCAGTCAACACAGCAAGTTTTCAAACAGCATTACTTTCGACTCAACAGACAAATATGCACACATTCAAACCTTTGAGCACACAAAAACCAATATTTTAAGAAATAAACATTTCTACTTCTTACACGATGGTTAACTTCACAGCCACCAGCACCTTTCAACATTATTTCTTTTCATAATGCAAACATTTTCCCCAATATCAAAATGGTGGTGAAGGTTATGAGAAACTCACAAACAGACACCAAACCAACTGAAGCAAACAAACAAAACTTTTACACATACACACATACCCACACACACACACACTCACATACACACACAATCACACAAACATGCACACACATAATACATTCACGCACAAACAAAGTAAGACACTCTTCCAGCAACTAACTGCTGCAGCATCCTGTTTGCTTCTTCTCCTGTTCCACATAATCAGCCACACAGAACTTGGGCTCATTTGGGCGACGGGTTTTTTTCATTTTCAGGTCTCTGAAAATACATGAGAATAATATACTAATTCAGACATAGTTTACAGCCAGGCCACTTACCACAACACATACATCTTTTAAAGAACATACTCGCATAAGCACAATAATAGAAGAAAAAAATAGGAGCTGCCTAGCAGTCATTTGAAACAGTTCATATTTTGCTTACCATACAGAGCCATAAGCTTCCAACTGACACACTCTTCTCAGAAAAGAAAATACAACCAGTCATTTCTACTTTCAAGAGAAGCTATCATCAAGAAAAAAAAAATCCTTTTTACTCATATTGAACCCCAACTCAGTTAGTTTTAGAGGAGATTTTACGGCGCTTGCAACTGCATAAGGTCATATTATGAGCGCCAGAAGAATAGAGGTGTTACAAGAGAGTAACAAACATAAAAAAGAAGAAGGGGAGGCAAGGACAATAGATGTTTGATAGGAAAGAAGGAGCAAACCACACCAGAGCACCTGCCAACCACCCACAACCCGAACTCAACACACAGGTACACAGAAGCACTCCCAAAGCTAACATATTATAGTAACTTTATTTTACAACACTACAAGTTCTCAAAACCCCACTATTTTGCATGTCAAGGAGAGCTCTAACTAACCTGGCAACAGCCATAAATGCAAGATCCACATTGACTCCTGTCTTTGCACTGGTTTCCATAAATGCAACACCATATTCCTGAGGACACAAAAAACAATAAAATGGTATAGTTGGCCACCATATGTCACAAATGTTTGAATGATAATGCACCATCATATTTATCAAATCTGTTAAGACTGTACATTCCACCTCGCAGCTTAAGATCATCAGCTGACAAAAAGAAATTTATTTTACCATCTATGAAACTTAAAACAATGGGTGAAAGGGCATTTGAATACCAAGGCCCCAAGATCTGGAATGCTTTACCAAGTACGTTGAGAGAAATCAAAACTTTTGATTCATTCAAATGTCAGCTGAAGTCGTTTCTGTTTTTAAATTAATAAGATGAATATTTGGAATAATTTTCTTTAGTCAAAACACAACGTTTCATGTTACTGTTGTATGTTGTACTGTATTGTAAAGTGCTCAGAGCCTGTGTACTTTATTCGGGGTTGAGCGCTATATAAATGTCATTTATTATTATTATTATTATTATTATTATAAAAATGATTGGTCATTATCAAAACTTTCATATTTATTTTTAAGTGACGGAATAATGGTTAAGAACTTCAAATAAATATTTGAAAATTTTAGAACAGAAAAATATTTTAAAATAACAAAATATTTTGAAATGAGACAGAGAAAAAAAAACAACCCTACTCTGACAAAAAAATTATAATGTGGCTACGCACAAACACAACACTCACATGTGTGTATACAAAGGCATCCCAGCACTTTAAAACACTCACAGACACGCATATATATATATATATACATTTATATATATATATATATATATATATATATATATACACTCCCCTCCCTCACCCCCCTCCCCCCCACAATCCAACACACAGGTACACATAAACACTTCAAGAGAAAACATTTCACAAGATACAAAATCTTGTCAGCCCATCACAAATAAAACACAAGACATCCTCTGAGACAAGTTTCATAAGGTCTACCTGTTGCTGCCTATACCCATATCACAGTGGAAAGCAGACAAGGACATCAACAAAATCCCTAAAAAAGAAGACACAGACCACAACAAAACTTCTTCCACTACCAATGAGCAAACAAACAGGGGTGGAGAGACAGTTTCAAACACACAAGAACCAGGTCGATTCCAAATTCCAAACAGCCTCCACCCGGTGTAACAAAGCTCACCCTTGCCAGTCTCTCTCCATCCTCCTTTCTGACCACTCTGTTGCCACTAGAATCGCACTTGTTGCCTAGCAACATGATCACCACATCATCTTGAGCATAGTCGTTGATCTCACCCAACCAAGCCTGAGGACGTGACGCAAAACAAAAAATAAACAGGTTACACTTCCTGACGAAAGTCTTTAGTTTTAGTAGAGGTTTTACAGCGCTTGCAACTGCATAAGGAATAAGGTCATATGAGCGCCAGATCAGAAGATTAGAGGTGTTACAAGAGAGTAACAAACATAAAAAAGAAGAAGGGGAGAAAAGGACGATAGATGTTTGATAGGAAAGAAGAAGCAAACCACACCAGAGCACCCGCCAACCACCCACAAGAAAAGTCTATCACATTTATTTCCAGATGCAGAAAAGAAGCAGGACCTATTAATGGTGCCCCAAATCACCCATAAGTAAAAAAAAAAGCACACTGGCATGATAAAAGTAATTTTAGATCAGGGAAAAAGCAAGATAAGCAGATGGAAAAAAAAGAAGAAGGACCTTCCAGTGGCAGCCAATACTTAATAATAATAATAATAATAATAATAATAATACTACTACTACTACTAATAATAATAATAAGCTCAACAGCGAGCTGTTACCTCTTTACACTATATTATTACCGAAGGAAACCCAAGAACACTCAGAAACATTCTAGGCTTCCTGGGAGGCACATAATGCAAAAAGCTGATTAAGCGCTCGAACAGTAACAAACTGACAAGATCATTTGCTGCTTTTAGTCGGGTACCCATTTCAAATTAGGTGAAGTGGGGTATATTCATGTCATTTGTTTTAGTAGAGGTATTACGGCGCTCGAAACTGCATAAGGCCATATGAGTGCCAGAAGATTAGAGGTGTTACAAGGGAGTAACAAACACAAAAAAGAAGGAGGGGAGATAAGGATGATAGATGTTTGATAGGAAAGAAGAAACAAACCACACCAGAGCACCTGCCAACCACCCACATTCATGTCAAGTGCCTTTCCCAAGGACACAATGAAAGGTCCCTGATGGGATTCAAACCTAAGACCTTAAGGTAGAGAGTCCAAGAGCCTTACTGCTGAGCCCCAGACTTACCCGGATATTGTCAAAGCTGGTCTTGCTTGTGACATCATACAGTAGGAGGAGGGCTGAAACAAACAGAGAATAGCCAGGTCAAAGAACGGGTCATTTGGGGGGAGGGGAGGTATGGTGGGTGTGATCTTCCCTTTCACAGAGGCTCACAGATTTAACTTATGTTTGTTTGTTTGTGTTTTTGAATAAAGAGAAGCACATAAACACAATAACAGTCATTTAGTGCTGGGAAACAAATGTATGACAGAAAGATGCAAATGAAATAACGGAGGGAAAGAAAGAAGTAGGACCTACAAGTGACACTCTTCAAGATCTATTCTAACAGCAAAGCATGGGACAGTATTTCTCTAGAAAAGCAAGAGGAAAAAACACAAAATGTATACTTGAGTAAAGAGATAGAAAACTGCCGCTCGTCAAATTGAGTGAGATTGCATTTTAAGAGAAGCATTAAAGACAAAACAAATATTGAAAAGAATTAGAACACAGCACAAAAGAGCACCTGCTAACTCATTTATCCCCCCCAAAATAGTTCACCAGTAACAGATACGAAAAGAAATGAAATGCAGAGGCAGAAATGAGCACAAAATATTCAACAAGGGAAGAACAGAGAATTTAATTAGGAAGTGGTATATCATGAATGTGTAGTGGCATGTCTGAACAACATCAAAGAACTCACAAACATGATAGATTGTAACTGCTTTATGTCCCCATGAACACATTTTAAATCATAATTTACTGGGGGGAAAGACTCATAAAGACCAGAAAAAGACAAGAAAAAGACCAAAAAGAGACATGTGAGAGGCATCAAAGTGAAGTCAAGCACTTGTCAAAATAATGAAAATGAAGAAAACAATATTTTTCCACCAGCAATTTTTATCGATTTTTCTTTTTTGGGTTCAACACCTTTTGTCTGTTTAAAAACACATCTCAGTGTGAATTTTACTAAAAATGCTGTTCAGCAGCACAGCAAATATAGACCTGCATTTCACAAAGGACTCTCAAACTTCGGCAATTACCAAACTTTGGGGGTCATTTTCTAGACAATTTTACCTTAGCTACCAGGCAAATATCTTGACTTCTATTCCAGATAGGTGGGTATTTTTCTCATCAAAAGCAGGGCAAACGAAAAAGCTTTAAGGTGATATCAATAACTCCAAATACCCCAAAATTGACGAGCGCCTGATTCCACCGCGGCGTGACACATAATAGTTGCATTGTGCAGTGAAGGTCAGAAAAAGAGGGTAGTCAATGACTTTCAATTCAATTTAAAAGATCATGAAACCAATAAATGTACCCAATACTGGGGCACATGCAAAAGTGATTAATAAAACATAAAAAACTCTGATAGTGTAATAAAGAAAAGAAAATCCAACATTATGTTATAAAGTTTTATAAACTCAAAGGGAAATAATAAAGAAATATATAACTAAAAGTTTTATAAAATTACACTCAAATGTAATGAGGAAAGAAACAGAAAGTATCAAATTATTTTCCGTTTCTATTTACACACTTTGATTTCTAGCGAGATTTTCATACGCTCAATAGAAAAAGGTTTACGACTTTTACTTTTCTTAATTAACATACATGTTATACACTCTCATTAAACTTCAAATCAGTGAATAATTCAACAATGATTAAAAAAGTGCAGATACAAAATTTTAAAAAATTAAGAAAGAAAACCACTTAACATCAACACTTTTTTTTAACTTCTGAAACCTTCATACAAAATTAACCTCTTTTTCAAAACCATTATACAAGTTAACCATATGTCATAAATATTAGCTACTATATAACTGAGGTACTAAGAAAGTCAAAGTTGTTTTCAAGAAGGAAAAAAGAAACACGTGTTAATAAGGTAAACTTTAAAACTTTGAGAGCATAAATATTTAATCAGTAAAATGTCAACAGTCCACACCCACTTATCTCAAAGTAAACACCCCTGTACTGCATTGTCACACATAAAGCAAAGACTGCATTCATTTCTAAACCTGTGAAAGGTTTACTCTTTGTAATACATGAGGGCGGTAAAAGAGCTTATCAGAGCTCACTCATTCATATCTGGTACAAGGGAGCACAGATGATAAGTAGCGATCATTTAAAAAAATCCCTTGCATTCTGAGAGCAGGCAATCAATGCAAGTATTGGATCTAAATACCAAGCCCATGAATAAAATTCATTGTCGGGCTGAGGGAAAACCTGCTTCAAGCCATTCAAGACTGGAAACAGCATGCCCAAGACATTGTGCTCAACGATTTCTATGCGAATCCTGCCTTAAGAAAGCATTTTTAGGGCTTCTGCTCACATTTGATTCCTTTGTTGTCAGTTTTTTTGGCAAATGAATTACAGGCCCATCTGCACAACTTACTTTATACATGAAGCAGATAGCTTTAAAACTGTCAGATATTTATGGCCAATGTGGGAAGTATAGGATGTCTCCCAGTAGATGATGGGGATACTCAAAAAAATATCTTCCCCACATGGGAATCAAATATTACTTCTGCAAGGTGAAGAGCCCAACCATTGAATTTCTAAACCAAACAATACTAAAACCAAGTCTGATCAATCCAACCCCTTCCCCCATCCTAAAAACAAAATTAAAAAAAAACCCAAAATCTGAAATTTTTAACATACTGAAGATTAAAAGGACTGTTCCATAGCCAAGCATTTTACGTCAGTTATTATTGAGGAATTGAGGGAGAGACTAGTCTAAGAAACTTTCACAATGAAAAAGAAATAGCATTCAACATTCCTAGCTGATTCCTGCTGCTACGAGGAACAAAAGACTGGAATGAGTTGGTAACAACACAGTTCTCGAGTATAAAATTGAAAGTCAAAAAGTGGAAAATGCTGTAACAAACATCAGCTGTTAGGGGCAAAAGAATTGTAAAACATTCATCAAGGAGGACAATAGCACGTATATATTTTTCATAAAAGTGAATTAAGAAATCTGATGAATGCTACTTTACATACATTAAGTGAAACAATACATGTTTGGTACAAGTTTTCACCACAAAAGCTGGAAGGGAACAAAGCATCACTCAAGACGAGAAGCACTAGTATCGTATAATATCTACAAAGCAAGACTGTCAGAGTGAAGGATTGAATGGTAGAAGCAACGTAATGCAATTATCATCATCATTATCACGACGTGCCTTTGATCTGAAATAGACGTCGGTGATCATGGTTCGCCATTTATTTCTTTCCTGAGATGCTATTTAAAAAGCCTGTGTTATCCAGGTCTTTCCAAATCACCCATCTGTTCAAGATCTCCTCATGAGTTGCTCTTGGTCTATCTCTGAATTGTTTGCATTCTATATTTCTCCCGTGAGAGCAAGACGTTCAAGGCCTAAAAGTCGATTTAAGTGTCCTAGAAACTGCATTGCTTAAGGGGGGGGGGGGGGGCACCCCCAAAGTCCCAATTTGGCTAAAAACTATCGATTTTAAGTTGTAGGCATATTTAGCTTCTTCAGCCTCTCTTACAACTATTTCATTGCATAAGAACCCCCTGAAGCCTTATTTCTTCCCAAACCGGGGGTGTTTGTCACCACCATTGCCTCATAAAGTCAATCTTTTATTTTTCTTTATAGTCCGTTTTCTCGAAATTTTGTCTTTCTATATAGGCCCTACTTTTTAAAAAATAACTCCATTATTTTTTATTCAAATTTCATGAAATTTTCACAAAATGAAGTAAAGATGAAATACAAAAATATTTGTGTGAAGAATTTTTTATATAGTTTTTTTGTTGGTGGTGTTTGGAGTGTGGATTTTCAAGGATATTTTGCAAACGTGAATACTACCTTAGGAAAAAATTCATTAAAAATTTCAAGTACACTTAGGAAAAATTCGCGGCACAGATTTGTAGATCTATTGTTTGCCAAGATGCGTGCAAAAAAAAACTTTATTTCCATGAAAAATAAGTGCGGTATTAATTATGTAAGACATGTCAACAAAATCCAATATGGCCGCCGTATCCATGGAAACACGTTTTTTTTCTCTCAAATTTCATTGTGGCTCTTAAGACTTCTTTATATGCTCATTATATGTGTGAAATTTGGTAACATTTGATCCACTAACAAGCAAGATAGCATTGAGATGCCACCCCCCCCCCCTTAACATGTTTAAGCCATCATTGACACAATTTAGTTCATTTAAGAAGAAGAACAATTCCGCTCTCCCTATACTATAATTGTTTCTGCTGAGTATATTATATGGAGTTGTGCACAGCCAGGCTTGGCCCTGACAGACAAGACTGAAGCAGTAGGCCTACATGTAGTCTTTTTAGATTTAGTAAGAGTTTTACGGCACTTGCAACACAATAAGGTCATATAAGTGCAGCAGATTAGAGGTGTTACAAGAAAGTAACAAACACAAAAAAGAAGGAGGGGAGATAAAGATGATAGTTGTTTGATAGGAAAGAAGAAGCAAACCACACAAGAGCACCCACCAACCACCCACGAAAGCAGTAGTCTGTCTCATAAATGATTTAAATTGTGTCCGTGGGTGCTTAAAACAGACAGATTCCCTACCATCTAGGCTTCTGACAAAACGAGTGTTGAAAACCCAAAGCTATCACTGCCATTTACCTTATTCATTCTAAAGATGCTTGTATCTTTTTCCAAGTTTCCGCCCCAAGACCCACCTGCTTTTGACACAACCTTCGACTGAAAGATGCTATTCAATAAAATATTTTAGTTAAATAGGAAAAAAAGACTGGGGTGCTTTGTTAGAACATCCAGAGCCTGAAAGGTAAAGAAGCGCAGTCCATTCACACACTACAGCAATAAGGAAAAAATCACAAAATTCCCACAACTGAGATAAAAATTAAAACAAGGACACGCAAAAGAAACAAAAACACGGAACAAAAAAAACACGAAACAAACACAATATATTCAAAATACAGAATTTTAAAAAACGTCAACAGGTGTGAGTTACAAACAATCCACTCACTGGCTCAACTCAGAACCAAGTTCAGAAAAGAGGAGGATCTTGTTTGCATCTTACTCTGACACTGACACAGCAAGAAGGTAAAAAATATGTCCACTAGGGAAAAATTCAC